GGGGGTCGTCTTGTACATAGGGGCATCTTATTGTTGGAAAAATACGGTAAATTGGCAGGCGCTCTGTTTCCCGCCTAAAGAGAGCTTAATAGGAGCCAAATTTCAAAAGGGCTTAGCCCCTAAATGTACTTTTAATGTCAGGATTTTGTCCGGAACAAAGAATCGTATCTAAATATAAGACGGTTGAATTCTATCAGGCCACTGGTCTTTTCTAATTGGACTGAAAGCATCTTACCAAAACCCAAGCTCGAGGTCTTCTCTAGCTCACCTAGCAGAGATCGCACACCTGGCGATACTCAGGACTGAAGCTGTGACTTTCTCTGTGTAAATCATTTGTCCTGCCATTAAAGAGTGACTTTCTCTCAATAATTCCTTATCTTCTATACTAAGAAACCACAATCAGTTACCTGCATAGTCATGAGCAGGACATCCAGAGCTGTTGGTTCTTCTGGGGAAGAGACTGACTTGCGACTTGTCTGCAACTTTGAGAGAGGGACCCAGCGAACACTTTCAAAGGTTTGGTTGGTCTTCACTTCTTTTAGGGTTACAACCAAAATGTTGCCTTGCTTGTCTTTGATGGGTTCAAAAAAGACCTGTCCCAGGTCTTGGATTCCTAGCAGACCCTAGATAGCAACCAAGAGAAGTAACAGCCTCAGGTGGCATATCTACTACAGGTATGCAGTCAGGAAATGCAGTTGGGCATTTAATTATCTAAGTGGAAATTCCCTTTTCTTTTGTAAGAAAATAACACAATTTTTTACTATTTATTGCACGGATTAATTGTTAGACCCTTAAGATAATAATTATGTCAATAATTATGCCCAATCGGGCAAAGGTGTTACCAGACTTCCTTTGCAAAGGATGGTGTGGGAGTTAAACTTATTTGAATAATTATTCATACCTTAAGGTTTATAGAATCTCACATCCACTTCCTGGGTAACTCAAGCACAAAGATTTTTGATCCATCTAGCTGAAAGGATCTCTGGCCTTAATACTCACAGTTAAGGCCATCACAGGAGGAACTTCTCAGCAGATGTTTGTGTGAATTATGTACTGGAGGGGTGGTGTCCTAAAATCCTTGGAACTGTTATATCTGGAAGATGCCATTTTTACCTGCATCTGTGAAATGGCCAGCAGCATCTTGAAGCGTGTTTGGAGAACACAGGAACAGGAAGACTGGGACACGGTAACACACTGACGCAGCCATAAAATTTCATCCCACATACAGGACACCTACAGCAAGCAGAGCAATAGGTTTGCACAAGTCATGCTAAGATTCCCAGGCTCTTCCCCCATTGGAGCTCTATCATCAACCAAGATCAGCTCTTTCGAACATCTCCTCTCTCATTTTTCTGCAAAAAAAGTAGCTTTTCAAAAAGTCATATAAATAGGAAGATTTAAATGGGCCTATTTCAGTGAACTACGCTTTACTTTACATCTTCAGATTAAGAGTGCTCTTCCACCACAAAAGTCTTCAAGAACGGCAAATTAAAACATCCTAAAACAGTCATCTTCTGTACAAAGATGATTGTACGGCATTATATCCGGTTAACAGCCTTAATTATTGTATGGAGCTACTTTAGGTGAACAGTGCCTAAGGCAAGGGTGAGGGTGATGATATTTCACGTCTCCAGATGTTAATTTAAGCAGGAAAGTCTGGTTCCAAACCCAGATAGGTCTAAACACAGAGTCTTCCACATCTTCATTGTGAAGCTTTGCCATAAAGGACTTACTGATCATAGCACACATTCTAAAACCACTAAAAAAAGGGTGTCACCTTGGTGAACCAGAGGAAGTCCTGCATAAGTAAGCAGGAATAGGTGTCATCTATCTCTACCACGGGGATCTGGTCTTCGGGGGTCACCAAGATATTGTCATCCTTGTAGAATATGGAGGCTAGATACAGGCCCCTGGAAAGAGAGACAATGTTTTGAGAAGGGCTCTCTCACTGTGGGTAACGGAGGGACATCTTCCCCCATCCCAACCCCTTCTTCCTGGAGTGTCTGGGAAATACTAAAGTCAAGGACTCAATAGAAAATTCAACAGCCATGGGAGCAGGTGCACAGATGCTATGCCCAGGGGACCCACCCCTCTTCTTACCTTTTCAGTGTCTTTAAAAACTTGCTGCCAGGATGGAAGAGATATTTTAGACTTTTGGAGACTGAGTGTTTTCTGCTCTGGGGTTGATTCTTACAGGGCTCTGAAAATCATGGAGAACATGCAGAAGCTATTAGATATACAACTGCTATTGCTTTTTTCCCTTTCTTCTTTAATTCTGGCTATACAAAACGTGCAGGGCCTGGAGGAACCTGGAGAGGCTTAAAGCAAGTCAGCATAAGACACACACATATGAAGTATTTCAAGTGACCCCAGTAAAGATCTTTTGGTGGATTCAGAGTAGCTGACTATTTCTCTTTAGCTATAGAAATGGCTAGTGAGTTAAAACCAAGATCTGAAATTTATTTATATTTATCTGTATTAGTCCCTGCCCATTTCACCCAAGGAGCGACTCGGGTGGTTTACAACAAAACAAGAATAAATACTAATTAAAATATAGTAAAAACCATGTACATAAATAAATTCCAAGGAATGGATAGTAAATGATGGAGTGTCTTCAGGGTGCCAGCCACCCCAAGGGTTGGTTACCCCTCCTCACGCCCCAGGTCTTCACCCTTTTCTGGAAAACCAGGAGAATGGAGGTCCACCTCACCTCTGGGGGGAGAATGTTCCATAGGGCGGAACATCCATTCCTTGTTGCTCTCTCTGCTATGGTCCTCTGCCTTCCTATTGAATAAACTCTGCACTTTCTATCCGGTAATGATTTCTTAGCACCTTCTCACTTTGATCTTTTTTTTGTTACTTTCTTTTCGGCTCTTCTAAAGTCTATTTCTTCCATGCATCCATTCTGCAGAAATCTTATTTTTCAGCTTAGTTTGTTCCCCCCCTCTGCCACTTATGGACCTCTTTCCATTTTCTAACATTATTCCTACAGCTAACTCTTCTTCTTCAAAGAGGAACATTTGTGAGCTAACAGACAAGTGACAACCAGTTTTCAGCACATTACTTATGTGTCTAAGATAAGAATGGTAACGAACAATTTTAAACGATGTATATTACTTTAATTGTACACTACACTTCTTATTGCATTCATCTTAATAACCCTGTGAGGGATATCATAATTATTCTAATTTAAAGCAGCAGAAAATTAAAAGATGTGGAAACTTGGTCCCACTCATTCCAAGTGAAAGTCAGAGGAAAGAATGAAAAACAGTAGCTGGATCTGCACTTTTTAGATGTAATCTATTCTGTCTATTTGGCCAAGCTGTTCTGGATGTTGCACCAGTAAGTCATTAAGGCTTGATTCCCAAGAAGTCATCCTGTTGGCTGGAATCATCAGTTTCCCACTATTCTTGTATTTTATTCTTCTCCTTTTGCAAGGAATCCTTTAACAACCGTGAGAGCTGTGCCTGGGTGAAACGTTAAGCATGCCTGGAAAATGCCACAAGCTGTCAGGAGGGCTCACCAATAAAAGTGCTTTTTCATGCCCACTGCTCTGCTACCTGAACACGTTGCAAACAATTGCTACATGTAGTTTTGTCCCCTACACAGCACCTCTGGAAAGGATCAACTAGAAAGCACCCCATAAACAAACCTACAATAAGCCATACAAAGGTTCTCTGACTGGTTGCATCTGGAAGTAGTCTGCAGATATGCCCCACTAGGTAGACCAGACCAGAAAGTCAACTCTGCAGGAAAATTAGAACTACTTTTATTGAGACTGGCTATAATCACAGAATCTAGCAAGCTTCATTGTGCTTTACCTCCACTTCTCAGTGAATCAGAGAGGCTACCGACTATTATCTTGTTTTCCAGGGCTTAAAGAATGTTTCGGCCCCCCTTTGCCAAGGTAGCAGTTCCTGCATATTTAAATCAAGGTCATTTCCTTTACTCTCTACAGCAGATGACATATTATATTTAAAACAGTGTTTCCCAACCTTGTCAACTTCTAAATATTTGGGCTTCAACTCCCAGAATTCTCAGCAACGGCCAAATGGCTGGGGAATTTGGGGAGCAGAAGTCTACAGATCTGAAAGTGGCCAAGGAGGGGGAATCCACTGGCTTAAACCAACCAACAAAAGCTGGGTGGGAGAGGAGCCAAGGATGTGAGTATGTTCAATGATAAACTGTGTTTATAGTTTATATCATTCAAACATGTACATTTTGGCAAGTCCCTAAGGACTGTCCTAATCGTTTCCCCTTAAACTGAGTTCTTGTTTTCCCAATGTAGTGTTTTGGCTCTGATCAAAATGTATTTATTGCAGACTCAGGTACAGACTGTTGAAAGAAAAAAAGGCTTCTACGTGGTAGGAACTAGAGCATCTCAGTTTCTAAACTCAGTTTGGAAGCTGGAGTTTTTGCCCCAATTGATTTGATGGTTGTTCTTATTCTTCCTCCATCAACTCATTTCCTCCCCCAGCTTTTTCCTCCCTCTGCTACTTCCTACATGGTTACCCCAAAACACCCCTGATGTTTACAAGTAGCCCAGGGAGAATAATAATATAAACCTTAGGAGCTGAATTTAATGACATTAAAAGTTATTTGTTTGGATTGGCATTGGCCAGCCATGTTCAGCATTGCATACCAAAGCTTGTTGCAGCTTCCAACGCAGGCTTCCAGTCAATACTTTCCTCCACCAAATCCCCAAAGTGCCTTTAGACGTGCGACAGGACTCACCGTGACACACACAGTGTTGGTGCACCATCTTCACCTGATTGAGGAGGTGGTCCAGAGCTTCAGCTTGTCCTCTCTGACGCGGAGCCCTTCCATCATATTCTCTCCAGTCTGACGTGGGAATGAGATGGAGATGAAGAGATTAGTGGCAAAAAAGATGGCTTATGGGTCCCTTTAAATGAATCACAAGGCCTTTTCGGACCTGATAGGTATTTTTCCTGAAGGGTAAAAACCCCCAAAGCATGGTAAATGGCATTTCATTTCTAAGATCCTGAACTGAATGTATTACTCTTGAACCAGGCTTTTGGTCTGCAGATTAGATCCATGACTAGGTCAAATCCTTCCTTAAACTAGATTATATCAGCAGGAGCACTGACATTTTTTGTGGGTTTCATTCTGAAGGTTTGGGGTTGCGGGGGGCAGAAAAACAAGCAAATATAGAAAGGGAGCCAGTAGATGGGCTCATACCTTCAAAAACCTTCAGTCAATCCAGGCTGTCCCCAGATGTATTTGATTACATCACCCATGTCATCAGGAGGAAACCAAGTTAGAAAAGGACACAGTAGCGTAAAACAATAAAATTCAGTTCCATGTTTCAGGTTAGTGTTAAAAGGATCTTGGCTTTGAATGATGGAAGATGCTACTATAGATTGTATGTGTGGTATGACTAAGACTTCATAACAGTATTGGTTTAAATAAATCCAAACTCTGCTCTGAGATTCCCACTTTCTGTAGCACAGAAAACCAGATAAACTATGATTATGATTGATCATGTGCCATCAAGTTGTTTTTGACTCCTAGCGACAACACAGATTTTCTCCGTGACAATCTGTTCTTAACCTGGTCTTTCAGATCTTCCAACGGTGCACTCATTGCTATAGATCAAGCATACCAGTGAAGAAATATCCAGTATATTTGCTATTTTATAAATGGCTATAATTCAAGGAGCTACAGGAAGTAGTACAGATTCCTTAAACCCTGGAATCAAGCTTCCGGGCTTCTGAGTGTTTCTTCATGTGCACAAACCAAAATTCTGACAATTTTTTCAAAATAAATTGTGGAATTCTTAAGATCCTAATTCTTACCTTTTGCATGTTTCTTGCATATCCTAGCCCTGGGAACACAGAAATACCATCTAACCCTGTGTTTCATCCTAATTCATAGGCAAGAGGTGCAACTCTCCTTGGGCAATACAGACACAATAACCCAAGAGTAGTAACCAGTGGTGGGAATTATTTGCAAGGGCGATGCCATCAGTAGAAATGACAAATCACTGTAACAAACAAGGTTGTATCTCTTGTGGTTTGTTTCACTGTTTTCAGAGCCTCGTTCCTTCTTCTGGGCTTCACCTGGACAGAAGGTTCTTCCAACCAATGGAGAAAGGCAACCTCCCTTAGACAAGTAAACATATAGGACTTCTTTCTTGTGCTTCTTAGCTATGAGGTGGCACAGCTACTGAACAGCACAAGCAAATGTGTGAGGAGCAGCTCTTTACATTAGCTTTACATTAATTGGTTTACACACTCCTCTGTGCTACAGTTTTCCATGGAAAGTTCAGCTCCATTAATTTTGGCTAAGCCGAGTGCTATTTCTAGGTGTTTTAAAAATACCCAAGGAGGCGCCTTGCATTTTTATGTGGCAGAAGTTGGGTTCTTTTGTTTTTAATTTAGGGGAGATTTAAAATAAAAGTGAAAGCAAGCAATAATTCATTTGCTAATCTTGGCTGTGTTCAGCAGTTGCCTACAATAATAAGTGAGCCAAATCTGAAGGGCCCAATCCATCAGACACATTTATTGCAAATTCAAAATGTGGTTTTAGTGCAGTCTTCTTAAATCATTGCCCTTTGACCCTGCAAGTAGTTATCTGACAACCACCAGAGATAGACAGCGGACTCATGTTTGAAGAGCATACATGGGAAAATGGCTTAAAGCTAAGTGCAACAGTCCACACATAAGCAGCAGCTTTTATGTATCTCAAACCTGGTTAACTATGCATCCAGACTTTATTCTGAGTTATTATTCTATGGTTTTGATCATGGATCCTTCCTGAACAGGCTATTGCGATACTGTGGTCTCCATATAGTCCACAGAAGCTTACTATGACATGAGCTTAACATCTGAAGGACTCTTAACACTTTCTATTTATCTCTATATGAAACGCTATTCTGTGTAATCTCCGTTAAAAGAGTATTAAGGCACATGATGCTTCCTCATCTTCATACTCACTTGAGGGAATGGCATAGGGTGGCACTGAAGTTTGTGGAGGTCCCCAGCCCTTCATGTTGTAGGCAGATACCTGGACATAGTAAGCTGTACCCTGTGAGGAAAGGGGAAGGAATAAAGAAGCTAAGCCTGGAGGAGAGCTTAAAGCTCAACAACTATGCAATATACAACATATTTTCCATTATCCCTTCCCATTATATAGTAAGTTGCTGTCTTCCATCATGATCAACAGTGATCCAACTAACTCTTGTGGAAGTAGTGGACAATCACCATCTTAGAGCGTTTTTGTTGAACCCGTTCAATCTGTCCCTTCTGTTAAGCAACTGTTAAGCTGTTGGGAGCCATCCGGAGTTGTTTAAGATGGGCGGCCATACAAATCTTTTAAATAAAATAAATACATTAATAAGTAGAATAAATCAGCTGGTACAAAATTTCAAATAGCTGATCTTTTTTCAGATATCCATCTGGACTCTATACACTCTGTAGTATGATATCTGATGCAGAGGGAATCCAACGTAAGAATCACAGATAGCCCTGCATTCAGGCCAGAGATCTCAAACCAGTTTATGGCCTTCTTAGCATGAACATGATTTGCCCTCTTTCCTAAAAAAATTGCTTTTGGTCCTGGAAGTGGCTATCTCACAACCAGCAGAAGTAGATGGCAAAGTCTTGTTTCAAGGGCACACGTACGGAAAAATGGTTTAAAGCTGAATGACCTCCTTTATTTCAACCTGGTGATAAGGTTTATGACCTCTTATATTTCAGGTTAAGGTTTTATTTCAGATGTCAAAATAGTAGCAGATTCTGAATCTCCAAACCAGAAATGGGCAACCTTTTTGTGGGTAGGGGCTATTCTTCCCATTTTCACTTTTCAAGAGCTGGAGAATTTATTTTGTTAGCAGCCTTAAATTTTTTTGAGCAGAAAGGTGGGCTATAAATGGACCTTTTTGTTGAAATAAACATTTAACAGTTGCTAACAATTTTTTGAAAGCATCTCAGAGAAATTAACCAGGTAAAATGAGAAGTAAAATCAGTCAAGAACTAACTCAACAGATACACCTTCAATGATTTTTGTAAACGTTGAGAGGAGGCTGGCCAAGTGCCGCGCTTAAGGAGAGCCTTCAAGATGCAACATAGGTGTGTTAAGCTGTGTAACTTTGTTTTTTCCTGCTGGAAGTGGGTAAAATCACGTCGGTATCTTAACCTTGCTGAACTATATTCCATTGGTCTCATTCTTTCTTCAGCACCCAGATCAGTGTTTTTCAACCTTGGCAACTATAAGATGCGGGGACCCACACTGGCTGGGGATTTGTGGGAGTTGAAGCCCACACATCTAAGAGTTGCAAAGGTTGAAAAACCCTGATCTAG